TCAGGATGAATTCCTAGGCATGAGATTTTGGAAGGCAAGTGCATAGGTAGCTTTGTTAAGAGTCAGAGTTGCCCTGCAAAGGGTTGCAACAAGGTGCCTTCTCCCAGCAAGGCATTGTGAGGGAGATGGGCATGCTTAGTTGACCCATTTGTTTTAATTAGAAACAAGTCCTCAGTCTCTTTTTTTTCGGGATTGTGATATTTTTGAAAAGTACTGGCAAATTATTTGGCAGAATATATCCCAATTTAGATTTGTCTGTTTCCTTATGATTAATGTTAGATATGCCAGTCAATGCCAGTCATCTCAGAGCCTCACCAACAGAGTTAGTCCACTGTTAGAGCCTTTAATTTCCCCAGTTTGATAAGTAAGGCATCGAATCTTAGCATGCTTTTAATTTGCACTTCTCTAATTTTGAGTGATGGTGAACATCCTTCTGTGTTTTAAAGACATTTTTATATCTTTGTGAATTACCTGATTAGGTTTATTCCTTATATTTCTAGTGGATTTTATTGTTCTCCCTCAAAGATTTTAAACATTTTTTCGAATTGATTAGGATTTTTAGCACTTTATTTGATGTGTATATTTCAAATGTTTTCTTATAATTCATCAGTTGCCTCTTGATTTTCATCATGTCTTTGACAGGCGGGATTATTTTTCTTTCTATGTATCTATGTATCTATCTATCTAGTTTTTTTTTTCCCTTGAGACAGGGTCTTGCTATATAGTTCAGGCTGGCCCTGAACTCACTATGTAGTCCAGGCTGGCCTCAAATTACTTATTTTATTATCTATCTATTTATTATTTATTTTAGTTGATAGTTTTCTTATAGTTGTAGCAAAAAAATAATAATATTGTTATGGCTTGTGTCTAGATGTCCCCCAAAGCCTTCATGTGGTTATAGGTTGGGCTTTTCAAAGGGGGCTGGATCTAGAGTGTGTGGTGCTCAGATCAAGGGTATGTGATTCCTAAATAGGTCCACTGATTAGTTTGGCATAGTTATGGCTAGAACTAAGGGTGTGAGTGCCACACTTGCCCTAGGGTGGGTAGCTTGCATAGAATATAAGGGACAGAAAGAGTGCCAGTGTGCTCTCTCCTGCCTGCTTGCTGTGAACTAATTCTCTGCGATGCCCTTCTGCCATGCCACCCTGGCCTGGAGCCAGCCAACTATGGACTGAAGCTTCTACAAACTGTAAGCCAAGTAAACCATTCCTCTTTTAACTTTGGGTGTTGCGTATTTTGTCTCAGCAATGAGAAAAGTAACTAAAACAAATATCCTCTACATGGTTATTATTTCTGAAGATTATTGATTTTTATGTGTTTTTATCTTGCTACTTTCTGAATTCTTTTATTATTTGAATTATTTTTGCCATTGTTTCCCTAGGATTCCTGGGTACATTGCCATATTTTCTGATGAGATTGGGTGAAATTAGACAATTACTGTATCATCTATAAGTAGAGATATTTTACTTCTCCCTTACTAGTCCTTATTTTTTTATATGATTTCTCTTGCCTGGTTGAATTAGCTAAAACCTATAATTCAGGCTACGGAGGAGGGCAAAAGGGAAGAAAGGACAAGAACAAAAGAGAATAGAAGGAAAAAAATAGGAACAAAACTTTTGTAAATAAGGAGGGGAAGATGGGTTAGGAATGGGGCTGGGACAAAAAGAAGCAGGATGTATCATGTATAGGTACAAATTTCTTACAATGAATGTGATCACTATGTATATCTAAAATGTACAGCAAAATATATTAAAGAAAGATGTTGAATGTTGCGGCTCTCTGGGGGGACCCCGTCCCGCGGGGAATAGGAGGTGAGAGCCGCCTCTTATTCGTGGGTCATCAGAGGCCGATCCGATCTTGAATGTCTGTGGAGGAAATCTTTAAGAAGTTAGAGTACACGGCCCAAGTCTGGTTTCTGATCAAAGGCTCTTTATTGGCTCAGCAAAACGATTATATACTGTTATCCCAGGGGGAAGGTTCAGCAAGCTTATTGGACAGTTCAAACAAATCCTCTACCAATCACATGAGTCACTCAAGCATTTAACCATACAGCAATCAGTATTTTACCAAATGTGGGGAGGGGTAAGTGGGAAGGCATACATCAACAGTTAACCCTATGCAATCTTTAACTTAACAATCTCTAGGGGCAAGCAGGACAAGGAAATACCACCGGCCTCCTGCTCCAGATCCCGTGACCCTGTGGTTAGCACAAAGGGCTATTTTTTCTGTAAGATTCCCTGTTTGCCCAGGGGCTAGACCTGCCAAAAGTCACGTATGTAGTCTAGTGGGATTTTTCCACCGAGGCAAAGGCTAAGGTTGAGGGCAGCCATCTTATGCAGGCCCAAGCAGTCTCTCACAGAACGTTTTTGCGTTGTTTACTGATTAAAGCCAGAATTTATGAACAAAAGAGGTAGGTAGATTTATTGAATCAAAATTGCCATGAAGAGATATATATTTTGTTCATAATTTCTGGCTTTATTGCATTACAGTTTAAGTGTTATTTGTAACACTTGTACGTGGAACTCATTGATGTCTTTGTGACCTAAACTTGATCAGTACGGACTAAAATTTTTTTCTATAATAAAGGTATAACATTTGGAATATTTCATAGAAAATCTAAATTATTTTTTTCTCCTACCACTCCATACACATACAGACACATTCCTTCTGTCTTATGGTAAGAATAGCCAACTATTCTATTACTATTCTACTATTTCAGTGCATTTTTTCTGTCTCCTCTAATCTTCTGTAATATATTCTTCATAAAAATAGTTATTTGTTATTTGGTGTGTTCATAACTAGTGCCCTTTGTCACATTCAAAGCCTTTATGGTTAGAATTGTGTTTTATCTGATACTGGATTATCTTTCACTACTTTCTTTTGCTCAGAAATTCCTTTGCCTTCCCTTTATTTTTATCATTTTTGAAATATTATGTTTTAGATAGGCTTTCTGTGTACCATATTGAAATGTAATTTGGATCTGCTTTCTGAACCTAATTGAAAGTATTTTTCTTTTATTGGATAATTTAGTCCTGTTTACACTATTGATATGACCTATGTAATTGGTTTTAATTCTTTCAAATTATAATTATGTGTATTTTATGATATTTACTATTTTTCTCTTTGTTGGGTATGCTTTATTGGTTTAGCTTTAAATTAGAAAGGCAGTTATTAGTTGTTTGTACTTTGCATTATCTGATTCATTAAGGTTTTAATGATATCCTATAACTTGTGCCTATTGCCTGATTATTAATCATTAAGCTCACCATTTTTCTCTTGCTTCCCTCCCCCTCCCCACTTTTTTTTTGCATGGGTGATTGAACTCAGGACCTTGTACTTGTGAGGCAGGTGGCAGAACCACTGAGCTAAATCCCTGGCCCCCTCTCTTCCCATTTTTAAAGTTCATTTTTCTACTGTGTCTCAATGCATATTTGTACATTAATTTTTTCCATGTTCTCCTTATCTATGTGGAGAAAGAGTAATACAATCCTCATTTTTATTTGTTGAAATTATTAGTCTTAATGCTGAAGTGTTGCAGGGTTTTTTTTGTTGTTGTTTTTGTTTGTTTGTTTGTTTGTTTAATTTTACACTAGGGATTAAACACAAGGCCTTCTTACTGAGCTACATCCCCTTCTCCCAGCCCTTTAGATTTTTGGTTTTTTAGACACAATTTCACTAAGTCACTAAATTGCCCATTGCCCAGGCTGGTCTCAAACTTTTGTTCCTCCTGTTTCAGCCTCCCAGGGTGCTGGGGTTGCAGGTGTGCACCACCACGCCTTGGTTCTAATTATCTCTTAATTGGCTGAAACTCATCCTCTACTAGAGATGCCTTGAGGAGGAAGGCTTGAAGTACCGATTTCCTTGAATTCCTATATATTTATAACTGCTTTTCTCTAATATTAAATTTTTGAAGCACAGCTTGGCTGTATATAAAATCCTACACCTTCAGTTTTGTTTGTTGAGTTTTTAAAAAATACCCATCCCTGTGGCCTTATCTTGTATGCTGTATTTAAGAAGTCTAACAGGAATCAGATTCTTTTGCCCTTGTAAGTTATTTGATCTTTTTGCAAGTAGTCTTGGGATCTTACCCCTCCCCTACCTTTGCAGTTTAACAGTTGTAGTAATCATATTACCCATTTTATGTAATAAAATACTTGGAAACAACAGTAAATATTATCTTAAAGTTTCTTCAAGTAAAGAATTGCTGTGGTCTGGGTAGGGGTCTCATGAGGATGTGGCTGAGCTGTTGACAGGCTCTGGAGTCATCTGGAGGCCCGACTCAGTCTGTCTGTAGCACGATTCAAGCACATTCTGGCCAGCTGGTGCTCGATGCCTCAGTCGTTAGCCACAGGGCCAGTCCATAAAAACTCTGATGATCACTGGCATACTCCAGAGTCAGTGACTCATGAGAGATCAATACAGAAGCTGTATTGTCTTTGTGACCAGCCTTGGTTCTTCAGCTGTTTTATAGGAGAAGCTAGGTTGGTCCCTGTTACTTCATTGTGGTTGGAAGTAGAAGTCTCCCACCTATTATTTCTTCTATAATTTTGTTTTCCTTCAACTTGTCTTTCTTCTCCTGCTATTTTAATTAAACATGTTTGATTAGACTCTGTTATAGTACTCAGAGAAATATTAATATTTTATCTGTCAGTTTGGCTGAAGTCAAACGAAAAGCTTTTTTTTTAAGGATTTTATTTGAAGAATCTTTGGCCTTTCCTTAATATGCAAAACTACCACTCCTTTTTGGTGCCTCATTTTTGTATACACCAAAATTTTTGTATATACTCTTATCACCAGTTGACGTAGCATTTTAAGCAATTGATTTCCCCACTGTAATGAAAGCACCATGAGAGCAGATTAATAACTGTCTTGTTTAGTGCTATTTCTTCAGTTCCTAGTACAGCTCTTATTGAATACTAAATGAATCTTTGCTCTATGACTGACAAATGAATGACTCAGTGAGTGCATTCATTTCCTTCTTCCCCTGTTTTCTTATATAGTGCCCGAAAAGCAGTGGATGAGGAAGAGGGAGCAGCAGAAGAACGCCGGAAAATGCGGACAGTTTGGGTGTCTGGCAGCAAAGGTTTAACTACAAGGGAGGCTGCAATCTTGATAGTGGATGAAGCCAAAGTGATTCTGCAGCAAGACTTAGTTGAAATGGGGGTGCAGTGGGATCCTGATTCCATGTTAAGCACTAGTACACATTCACTGACCAGGAGTGAGTCAGAAGAAAAGGAACACACACCTGTACTTCAGAGTACAGATTGTCACAAACGATTAACACCAAAGAACAAACGTAATACAAGATTTAGTGACACTTGCATTAATAATTCACCAGATGCAGTGGAAGATTTAGATAAAAACAGAGAATATACAAGTTCCTTTCATTGTAAGCTCCATAATAGTAATTGGGAACATAAGAGAGATTCCATTTCCAGAGGAAGAAAACGGGCTTCCTTCAGCATAAAAAAGAAGCCCAGAATCTTTCTGAATGAGGAAAAAATAAGCACTAGGAAAATTGTTCCGATGTCATTGGAGGAAACAAAAAAATCAGCTTTGAATTTCAGTTCAGACCAGATGAGCATAAGTTTTCCATCTTGGAAACATAGAAAACACCGAAAACAATCCCAGGACAGTAGTCCTGTGAAAGACACTGGGGTGAAAAGCTCTATGTGTAGTCCTCCTCTTTATGAAAACTCATTTATTATCTTTGCTGAGAAGAATGTGGAATTTAGAAGTCCAGAGCCATTTGTCAAAAATTTATCTTGTGCTGAGGGAAAAAGCAACAAAACATCATTCCTATTACAAACAGAGAGACGATGTTTAAGGAATAGAACAATAATTAATGATGCTCATGTGGAACATTTTTCCACAGGATCCCCAAAAGAAAATGTAATTTGTCAAGCCACTAATATGCTTAGTAAAAATGGAAGTGGATTAGCTGTCACTGAGACAGAAAAAATAAATGATGTGCCAACACAAAATGATTCAAAAAACCAGAATCTTTCTGGGCAACACCATGATACTCATCCAGTGAACCAGTGGCTGGAAAAACAATGTGATAAACAGGCAGACACTCACAGCACACAGAAAAAAATAATAGTGAGAGAAATGTCTCATGAGGCAGTCAGTAGCTGTATGGGTAAAGATACAAATGTTACTACTATCAGCTGTGAAGGTGTAAAGTTTAATAGTGAAGTAAGTAAATCCAGTCATCAAGCATTAGGAACTAATATAAGAACTGAGGTGCCTAGTGGAATACTTCAGTCAGAGGGAATATTTGGTAAATCAGGAGGCCAGCATGAAAATTTTCAAAATTTTTCTAGAATGCAAGAAAAAACAGCAACAAACAAAAATGAAAATAATCATGTTTCTGACTTAGGTTTAAAACTATTTGATTTTGAAGATAGTTTATACCTAGATACTCAGTCAGAGAAAATAATTCAACAGATGGCAACTGAAAACACCAAACAAGAAGCCAAGAATGCCAGCCTGACAGCAGGGAGTATGCAGAAGAGCTCCAACAAACAGAACCTACTGGGCTCTTCTCAGAAAGAGTTTTCTGTCATTTCCAGTGAGCAGCATCCTCCAGGAGTGACTTGTACAGTTACTGAGAAGCAAAGCCTCAAACATGGGCTTGATATTCCAACTCTAGAAAGCCCAATTTTTAATTCTCTAATACTGTTAGGGGAAAATGGCCCTTGTTTTAAAGGGAATGAAGTTTCTGTTACTGACTCCCAATTAAATAGTTTTCTTCAAGGTTATCAAACACAAGAAACTGTGAAATCAGTCCTACTGGTGCCTCCAAAGAAGACTCCCACTGATATGGAAGGATATTGTCTGTCAGGTCCTGAAACAAGTTTGAATATGAGTAACAGTTTATTCTTCGACAGTTTCGGTGAAGACTTTCTGGTAAAAGAACAGCCACCTGAAGGGCAAGCCAAAAAACTTCTTCCTTCTGAAATAACATCAAACAATGTCAGTGATTCTCTGTGTCTACAGCAAGAGGACTCAACTGAGACATCAAATATGCATAAACATCAAAATATTCAGCAGCAGTTCACTTGTTTCAATAATGAATCTATTATGTTTTCAGAAATGGATTCTACTCAGATGGTTGAAGCTATGGAAAATGTCAATATAGTTCCTGTCCAAGGGAAACATAATACTGAACTATCTTTTACAGTACTAGAACTGAGTGATTCACTGATTGAAGATGATGGTCACCCCCATGGAGAAGTAATTGGTGGAGATCAAGATAAAATGGCTCAAAAGTCCAAGTCAACTGAGACAAGGCAAAATAATTCATTCATATGGTCAGGGGCATCCTTTGATTTAAGTCCAGGATTGCAACAGATTTTAGATAAAGCATCTAGTCCTTTAGAAAATGAAAAACCAAAATTAATGACTATAAACTTAGCTAGTTTGAAAGGAAAAAGTATTGAGTTAAATGAGAGACTGGAGATGATTTCAGATTCAGAGACATATCAACTACAGGGTATTTCATTTTCTCCTAACAATGAAGTAAAAAGCAAGATGGATGCACTAGAGATCAAGGCCATTCATGGTGAAACCTCAGCTCTCTTGCCTTGTCATGAAAGCTGTGTTGTTGATGATAATGGTCTCATTCCTCCTACACCCACACCAGCACCTGCTTCTAAGCTGGTATTTCCAGAGATTCTTGAAACTTCTGCAAAACCTTGGACAATGAGCAGTGTCTTACAGCCTGGTGAAGGTTCATGTAGCTCACCTTCAGATATTAAAACCCATGGCTTATGTCCAGAGAATGGGAATGGTTTCAAAGGTGATAGTTCTATCAGAGACCAGTTGTCACAGGATGGCTTGCAGTTAACTCCACCCTCATGCAGTTCAAAAAGTTTGTCTATAATTGATGTAGCAAGTGACCAGACCCTCTTTCAAACATTCATTAAAGAGTGGCAGTGCAAAAATCAGTTTTCCATCTCACTGGCTTGTGAAAAGACAAGAAATTTGACATCTTCTAAAACTGTTACTATTGGTGGAAGGTTTAAACAAGGTAAAAAGTCTTCAAATTTTTATTTTTTCACTTTAATCTATAACTTAGTAGACAGATGATATTTTGACTTTTTGATATTAAATATTAATGCAATTCTGTTCAAAACCAGCTTTCTTTGGTCTAGCTAGATTCCTAATTGTTATTCTCCAGTATAGAGGTATATGTAATACATGTTATATTAGTTGGAGTACAAATTTATGAAAATTAATATAATTTTGAATATGATCAGACATTTCTCTTAATGTCCTAATGTGACATGGTTTTTGTTAATCACCGGTGTTCACGAATTATTTCTTATTAGCTTATATACCATTATTTACTTAACCACAAAAGTCCATAGCAGATAGGCATTATATTATTTTAGAATGTTCATTAACTACATTTTTCAAAATTTATCTGAAGTAGAACTTAAACTTCTAGTGATAGTCATGAATTCTGTACTGAGGTGTTGATTCCAAAGCCTAACAAAGCTCTCCCAACTTTCACAAGTTGACCCTTTTGGTAAATGCTGCCATGTTATTCTGGTCTTCTTTAAGAACCCTGGGTTCTAGATGGGGTGGGGCTAGCCACAGTCAGCTTCGTCCAGCCACTGTGGAAATTGATTTGATCTGATTTCTAAAATATCTATTTATGAATGAATTTTTTGTAAAGTTTTAAGTATTTGACCTTTGATTCATGGAACATACCGTTAATAAGGTGTTACGTACTTTTGGTGTTGAGTAGCATTTCCCATTTTTTATCCATCACATGTAAAATTGAGCACATTTTCTGCTATCAGGCTGTGCTAGAAACACTAAAACCTTGATTGAAATTTAGCAAACGTGCATTGAGTTCTTACATGCCAGTTTATTTGCTGGGTAATGAAGATATATCTGTAACTGAAACAGACTGGTTCTTGACCTTTGTAAAATTGATGATCTGTTATTTTAGATAAAAATGTTGAATTCTGATATAAAATCATTCTTTGTTAAGGAGTAGCACTTAAGTTTCTTTTTTTTTTTTTTTGGTACTGGGTATCAAACATGGGTCCTTGAGCTTGCAAAGCAGAAGGCGGAACCACTGAACACTGAGCTAAATCCCCAGTCCTTAAGTTTCTTATTTGTTAAGAATTGCTGCATATGCTTCAGTGTTTTTGTGGTATGGCAGTTGCCTGCCTTCCTCCCCCTTTTTCTCTCCCTTTCCCTCCCTCCCTCCTTCCCTCCTTCCCTCCTTCCCTCTCTCCCCTTCCTCCCCTTCTTCCCCTTCCTCCCCTTCCTTCCCTTCCTTCCCTTCCTTCCTCCCTCCCTCCCTTCCTTGGATCTCACTGTGTAGTTCAGGCTGGCCTTGAACCATGTAGCCCAGGGTAGCTCAGACTTGTGGCAGGCTTCGTGCTTAAGCCTCCTGAGTGCCTTCATGCCCGACTGACCTCTTTATTTTTGTTTGAATTATATAAACTTGTAGTGCGGCTTTTTCATTTAGTTGATAATCCTTTAGTCATTCTTATAGATCTACTTTAAGAAATATTTAGTAGATTTTTTGGGGGAGTACCAGGGATTGAACTTGGTTCCTTGAACTTTTGAGGCAGCTGGCAGAACCACTGAGCTAAATCCCTGGCTTTAGCATATTTTTTTTATGATTACAAGTATCATAATTGATGGGCAGCCTAGATCATATATATTTGTGTGTGTGTATGTGTGTGTGTGTCTGTATGTATGTCAAATAGTTATCTTCATAATGCATATTTTAAGATCTTCCAATTTTGTCTATCAAATACAGTTTTTTATCATTGTTTTAATACTTAGTTTAATGTCTTACAGATTTTTTTGACTGTTTCACTTTTGATTCACTTAGCTGGCTCACCTCAGGAAACTTCAGTTAGAGATGATACATTTCCTGTTCAAGGCTCTGATGACATACTAGTGGTTGGACTGGCAGTGTGCTGGGGTGGAAGGGATGCATATTATATTTCACTGCAGAAGGAGCAGCAGCAGTCTGGTAAGTAATCAGAATTTGGCTAAGTCACTATGTAATTAATGAAACATCTGATAGGATAATAATCCTGCTTGTTGAGAATGATTTCCTGATAGGACCCAGGATTTATTTATAAAATTAAAAATTACAGTTATTTGGACATCAGTTAATGTGTACATAATTGACAGGGCTTAAGCCCATAGCCTTTCCCCTATGAGACAAACACTCCATGACTTAGCTATTCCCCTAGACTCAAATGAATGTTTTAAGAAGTGTTACCTTTGCTCCTCTCTTCCTGTCACATATGCAGCTGTTAGCAGCATACCAATGGTTATTTCTTCTCAGTCTTTTTCCTCCCCTTGATTGGGTCTGGATCTTATCCAGAGACAATGTTGAGTTAGATTTCCATAGTTGAAATGAATTACATAGCCTTTGCAGCTGAAAGGATAAGATCTAGAAATACTTCATGATCTAATTATGGCTGGTAGACACTCAGCGGTTTGCTTGGTTCTGGACAGGCACAAAATTAATAAGGTTGCCATATAATGTCTGTTCCTTAGTAAGGCTGAGACATTTTCATTTGCTTGGTAGGGAAGTCTGTTGAGCTGAGCAGGTGCTTGAACTTCTACTTCTTTTATTTTTGGTATAACATTATGTCTCATTTGGAAATTACTTCAGGGCTGGGGGTTTGGCTCAGTGGTTCTGGTGCCTGTCTTGCAAGTGCAAGGGCCTGAGTTTGAACCCCAGTACTAAAAAAAAAAAGAAAATTCACTTCAGTGCCAAGCATTGTATCACACACCTATGATCCCATCACTAGCAAAGGTGAGGCAGCAGGATTGCCATGAGTTTGAGGCCAGCCTGAGTTACGTAGTGAGTATAAGGCCAGCTGGAACTACATAGTGAGATCCTGTTTCAAAACAAAAGAAAGTGACAATAAAATAAAATTAACTTCAAAAAGCCTGTGTTTAACCTATCTTTAAATCATCTTTCTGAAAATGTGATTTTGCTTTTGAAGTCTTGATATTTTAGAATCTCATGTAATTAAATAGAGCATTATAAAACATGTAGCTTAAACCTTAGTGTTTAGGTTAGGAAACACCCTTCATCTACATAGTCACTAGGACCTGGACAAGGTTATGCTGAATTAGTGGTCACTTGGTACTGAGTCCTTGGCCTCTGAGTTTTTTTGAATATTCTGCAACAATGCATAAGATTCTAATAAGATTACTGACATTTAGAAATTTGAAGAAAGGAGCTAAAGGTGTAGGGAAGGTGTGATACGTAGGGGAAGACAAAAAGGGAAAAGAAAAAAGTGTGAGAGAATGAAAAGATGAAAATAAAGTGTTTGTAGATGGGGAGGGGAGGAGGGGGTGAAGGGAGGGCAGAGGTAAGGGGAAAAAATGAGAATCAAGACTTACCATGTAAAGGTACATGATCCCAACAATGAATGTAACTGTACTGTGTCCCTAAAATGTACCAATAAACTCAATAAAATTAAAAAAAAAAAAAGATTGCTGCTGCAAATGAATCATGTAATTTTTGTGGTAAGATTTTTTTTTTTTTTTTTTTTTTTTGGTCCCAAGAAATTACTGCCAGTTTGGCCCCACCTTCTCTGGATCCAGCCCTGACTGTGAGACAGAGGATGTTGCACCTTCGATCCTGCTTGCAAAAGGAATCTGATAAGGACCGAACTATTATCATCTATGATTTCATCCGGAGCTATAAAATTCTTCTTCAGTCTTGTGGCATCTCCCTGGAGCAACGTTATGAAGACCCTAAGGTTCTATGTCTTACATAATTTTTATAAACTTAAACATTGATGGGTTTAGGTTAATTCTTAAATTACTTGGTATTTATTTAGCTTAAGTAATGCAATTTAAGTCATTTAGAGGTCAGTCATGTCTTTTTTTTTAAGTTATCTCAAGTTTACTTTTCTTTTTTTTTTTTTTTTTGAGAAGTCATGTCTTTATCCAGTAATCTCATCCACCTAGAATAAAATATTGTGCACCAAATATCTCTGTGTAGTTCAAAACAGAGTTGTCAAAATTCTAACCCCTAAAGTTTATGTCTTCCTTCAGAAATTTTTTAAAAAATTAATTTTGGTCGTAAATTGAACGTTCTAATCCCATAGTAAATTAGAAGTGAAATGAGAACCATTCAATTTAGGTATATGATAGGATTTTCCATATAACCAAGAGAACGGAGGCAGAAAATAGGAAAAGTGCATGAATACAAAATGTCAAAAAGGGTATACTTAGGGATCATTGGGGCTCATTGTGATACTAGGCCCTGAGAACATTCCTGTGTCACAGCAGCATATGATACACTCTTCATAATCAGGCCTCTGAGTTAGCCAGGGTAGGGTAATGTGTTATCATAATACACATTTAACACTGTAATGCATTTTAGAGGACATTTATTTATGACATAATCTCTAAAGGTACATCATTTCCTACATCTTTTTTTGACAATGGTTTTCTTAGACATACAGAGTATTAATTTAGAATTGAAAAATTACAGTTTGATGGTTGTTACCAATACTGTATAGTCAGTAGGATAATTTTTTAGTTTTTTTTCTCCCCCTTCTCAAACTACTTGAAATATTTCATATTTGATTTTATTAACCACATTTTTGGTTTAAGAAGATAGGCTATAGATTTTTCAAATCACATCTTTATAAGAACCATCAGCCAACTTAAAAAATTTATTGGTACATTTTAGATATACATAATCATAATATTCATCATAGGGAATTTGTCCCTACCTGTACATGATATGTCTTTCTTCTTTTTTTGCCATTTCTCTCCCCTCTGTGCAACCTCTTATACCTTCATTATTTGCAAAAGCTTAGTTTCCATTTTTTCCCTTCTAGTCTCTTTTTTTTCTTGTCCCTTCTTTCAGTTCTCACCTTTGTTCAACTTTTATATCAGACTTTCCCATTCAAAACACCCTTATAAGGCTTCATAATTGCTCTACAAAAGTAACTGAGTCAGGTAGTAATCTTCAGAAATATTAGCTTAGATTTCTATATTACAAATGTAGTTTATGCTCTGTTATATCTAGTATTAGAAGCTACAGGTCACCTAGTTTCATGGGGAAGCTAAAAATAGCAATCCATTGGCCAACTGGATGGTCCTGGTGACAGACTCCTCTTCTGAAAAGAAAATCTAGAGGCGTTCTGAGAATCTGGATATGAACTTTCAGTGGTAAGACATTTGTGCTTCACTTTTGCTTTTGAAAGAACTAAGTAAGCGTAAAAGCATAGAGGCCCACCTTTTTTATAGTTGCTTAGGCCATATCAGCCTGAGCCTCATTTTCTTGCTCAGACACATGGTTTTTAATTGGAGGCACTTGGACTTTAGATTCTTTTTCTTTTCTCTTTTTGGTATCAGGGATCAAACTTGGGACCTTGCACTTGTGAGTCAGGCAGTGGCACCACTGAGCTAAATTCCAGGCCCTGGAAGCATTTGGTTTTTAAGTTTTCAGAACTGGGAAGTCCAGGAGAATTGCAGTGATGGAAAGTTATAGCTTTTTTCATTCTTTGAAGCCCACTGCTGTTATCGGTAACAAAATGAGTCCTATTATTATTATTACGCTTTCTTTCTCCTTTCCTGGGGAAACCCCTGAGTAAGTGTTAAGTAAAACTGAGTGATATAAATGAATTTTTACACAAAGATCTTAGAAAATATCAAAAAAATACTCTGATTGCTATCCCATTCAGGTGGCATGCTGGTTATTAGATCCAGATTCCATGGAGCCAACCCTTCACAGTATGGTTACTAGTTATCTTCCTCATGAACTCCCACTCCTAGAAGGCATGGAGACTGGCCAAGGAATTCAAAGCCTGGGGCTGAATGTGAGCACTGAGCATTCTGGGCGGTACAGAGCATCTGTAGAGTCCATTCTCATCTTTAGCTGTATGAACCAACTCCACTCTTTGTTGCAGGAGGAAAACCTTCAAGGTAAAAACAAAGTTCCTGGCACTTTTATGATACCAGTGTATATGTATATGTATATGTATATATAGATATGTAGATTATGTAGATATAGGTGTGTGTGTGTGTGTGTGTGTGTGCCATTCTTTATCATAGGTGAATAAATTACACATTTTATGTAAACTCTACTTTTGGATTGTCTAGTGCAATGGTCAACAAACTTTTCTCTGTAGAAGGCTAGATAGGACCTATTGCTGAGTTGTGGACCAGACAGTCTCTATCACAGATTTCCACTCTGACAGTGTAGCAACAGAAGAGCCATAAGCAATATCAAAACAAATGGCTGTGACTGTCTTTCAATAATGTATTTATGTCTTTTTTTTTTTCTTGGTACCAGGGATTGAACTTGGGCCCTTGTGCTTGTGAGCCAGGCACTGGAACCACTGAGCTAAATTCCCGGCAATAATGTATTTATGAAAACATGTATCTGATGCTAGTTTGGACATTGTTTGCTGGTCCCTGGCCCTGCTAGAAGATAACTAGTAGTGTTTTATTTAATTGTTACCAAATATATATTTGAAATGTATCAATTGTTTTAATGCTTAGAAGACATCTTTCATGATTTAAACAAAAGTGATTTTCTTTTTGAGGGGGGGAGGGTACTGGGGATTGTACTCTGGACCTTGCACTTGCGAGGCAGGTGGCGGCTCTGCTGAGCTAAATCCCTGCACCACCGCCCCCTTTATTAAGCTATCAATAGTCCTTTCTTCAGCAAAGGATATTCATGTAATTCTCTTCTTTGCTCATGACAAATAGTATAAATTTGTTGAGAAGTCTTCTGGCCCAGAAAGAGTACTTTGATTTTACAAATAATATAATAAAGAATGAAGTGGGCTTGATCTCACAGCGATCCTCCTACTTCGGCCTCCTGAGTGATGGGATCACAGGTGTGCGTCACCATGCCCAGTTTATCATCAACTGCTCTTGTACTAGCACTGTAGTACTTCAAGTTCACCTTCTCTTAAGCCAGTGTTGGCACACCTAGGAGGGGAGTACTGCCCTACATGCCCAGGATTGCCCCTGCACTTATTTTCAACAGCTGTAATCCCAGCTCACTTTTTTCCACCTATTGATGGGGTCCTGGGTAGTGTGGCTGTACACTTCCCAGACAAGGACTGCTGAAGATGTTGATAGGAATCGGTCTGTATGTTTTTAATGGATGTTTGTTATCCTTATCAGAGTCATAAGCTTTATAAAGACTAATCCAAATTTAGAGACAGGTTTTTATCTCTAAAAATGGGGGATTATAGTTTTCCTTTCCAGCAACATACCAAGAAATCTCTAGATTCATTATTATAACTTTCATCATTTTAATGTACCTTAGAAGCACCTTCTTTCTGTAAATTTAAAAATAGGTGAGTAGGACCTGTTAGATGCAGTTTTATTTAGTGTTAATGTTTTCTTAATCATAAAATCCTTAGAATTGAAGTACATTGAAAAAGGGAAATTTCTGCCAAGAATATGGAAAACTATTAAATTTTGTTTGGAAATAATTATTTCACAGTTTGCTTCTTTATTTTAATGGATCTCTAGATTATTTTCTCTTTTCATACTCTTGCCTTGTGGGTAGTGATGTTCTGAGAGCTTTCTCAGGTGTTTTGGTGTGAATGAATATTAGTGAGATAATGTGTCTTTATGTAATATGACCTATGACAGAATATTTGTATGAATGCATTAGGTCCTACTGTTTGAACATATATGAGAAAAAATTATAAGTATGGAATAAGTTCATTTGTCTTCTTTTTAAAGAATGTGAGCTGTACGTATTTGTAATAATCATGTTCTTTCGTGTATATTATCAGTCCACATATAGAGCTATTGTTATTTTAATAATATAATGAATACCTGTGAACCCACATTAAATTGCACTGTCTTATTCTTCCTTTCTTGAATATCCCGTTTTATATTATTCCCTTGTTTTTATAAATTAAATTTTAAAAACTTTACCATTTAAAGAATTTTAACATATATATTGCTAAAACATTGTTTGTTATATATTATTGCTGTATTATATATTTAATTTTGCTTATTTTTGCTTTTTAAATTTTTATTGGTGTATGTACAAATTTTGCTTATTTTTAAAAAAATTTTCTTCAAGTTTACTATACTTTTGTGGCAAGGTTCAGACCAAGATATGTTAAAGTTTGTTCATTTGTTTTTTGAGACAGGGTCTTACTGTGTAGCTCAGGCTCTTCTTGAATTCACTGTGTAGTCCAGGCTGGCATCAAACTCATGGTGATCCTCCTGCTTCAGCCTCCCAAGTGCTGGGATTACAGGTGTGTGCTACCATGCCCAGCTAGGTATTTTTTTTTCACTTTAAAAAAATTTGATTAGTACATGTTTGCGTTACTTACAGTTTGTAGTCATCTTGGGGAGTGGGTACATATATATACTCATATATACTATAGCTTCTTTCTTTTAATCCCCTTCCCCTTCCTTCACCCTTCCTCTATTTCCCTTATCATGATATTTATTCTTATTGGTATTATTAATCTTAGCTCATGTTATGACATATAATGTTCACATTCATTGAGGTCACTAGGTTTCTATACCTGGAATATCTTTATTGTACTTATTTCCCCACCCTGTCTTTCTCATCCTTTTCCTTGTTCCCTGCCACTACCCTATTGCTAGAGATCCATCCCCTTGTCCCCTTCCATCAGTCTTTTATTATTCTCTTTGTACTTTGCCTCACTCAAATGAGAGATACCATATGATATTTAAGCTTGTGTGTCTGGTTTATTTCATTCAACGTTATATTTTTCAGGTGTATCCATTTCCCTACAAATGTCTCAAATTTGTCATTCTTTATAGTGGAGTAGTTTTCCATTATATTCACTCGCCACATTTTCTTTGTCCAGTCATCTGTTGATGGGTATGTGGGCTCCTTCTAGGATTTAGCTTTTATGATTTGTCCTGCTATAAACATTGGTAAGCATGTATCACTATAATATGCCAGGTTGCAGTCATTCTTGCTGATTCTAATCCAGCCCAAGTCCTTGGGTTAGGAACTCTTGCTTGGGTTAGGAACTCTTGCTATGATGGAGGAATCAGCAGACAGATTCACTGGCACAAAGTTGTCCACTGAGTCAGGAGTATTCCTATGCAATCAAATGAGCTATGGTAGTAACAAGTTAATCAGTTACAGTGATGTCCATCAGGGCAAATTGAGAACATACTATGAGACCCAATTTTGGATCTCCCTTTAACTTAGAGAAGAAATCCATGATTGTGGTGTAAGCATAACAGCCCATATATTGACCCACAGCTAATGCTCACTAAATGTAATATCTGTGTCTCTTCTAATGGTAAGAAAGAAAGAAAGAAAGAAAGAAAGAAAGAAAGAAAGAAAGAAAGAAAGAAAGAAAAAGAAAGAAAGAAAGAAAGAAAGAAAGAAAGAAAGCAAGCAAGCATGCATGCATTCAACAGTAACTTTACAGAATCAGTTATCTAAAGCCCAGGATGTTTGGGATCAGGTAATGTTAGAGGTGGGTAAAGGAAAGAATGGAAGGAGGAAATAGGAGGGAGGTGAAAGACCCTAATGGTGGTAGAGGTGTGTTATATATTTAAGTGGAGATAACAGGGAAAAGTGGGTGCAAAATTGGTAGTGAGAAATGGAGATGAGAAACGATTGTATGACTTAGAAAACTTTAAATAGAGACAAATAAAAGGAGAAGAAAGAAAACAAAAACAAGAAAGGATAAGAAACGAGAAAAAAGTTAGGCAAAAAGATATGGGTAAAAGTAGAAGGAACAAAAAGGGACAAGGGAGTATTTCCTTACCCTCTATAAACTAACTATATTGGAAGAAAAAGGCAAGACACACACACACACACATTTATTGTACACATATATATGAATACACATGCATAAAAAGAAAAGGGGAAAATAATGGAATGAAAGGGGGAGAATGAAAAGAAAGAGGTAATCAGCAGAAAAGTTTTTTTTTTTTCCTTACTGGGGATTGAACTCATGACCTTGCGCTTGTGAGGCAGGTGTGGTGCCACAGAGCTAAATCCCTGGCCCAGCAAAATCTTTTTAAAAATGAAAACACTCTATTGTTTTGAATGCATGGCTCTTTTCCACAGCCCAGAAATAAGGAGCAGAGCTCAAGTCAAGACATGTCCCTGATCTTGCTGGAAGTCTAGGGCAGTCTGCCTTCAGAACACTGCTAGGCGCAGACATCTGCGTACAGTGGGAACACAGCAACAGTGGGGTATTCCAGTCCTGTGTACCTCAGGCTGAACCTGGCTTCCCTCTGCAGGATCTGGGTCTGTGTTCACAGCTCTAGTCCCTTGGTGTTACTCCCTCCAGCCTGCTCTCCAACTGCTGCTCTCTCCCGTGGCTGAGAACTTGACAATATGGAGCGTGGCTTGGAGCCACACATATGGAAAGAATATGTATGTATGTGTATGTATGTATGTGTATGTGTGTGTGTGTGTGTGTTCTTCTAGTTCACTTGACTTTTATTTTGTAATCTTTTTCTGAGTTTGACTTGAAATTCATAACTTTTCATTTCTTTCCTAATTTAAGTAGTTAAGGTTATGAATTTCCCTGAAAGCACTACTTTCATTGTATCTTAGAAGTCCTGATGTGTAATGTTTTCTTCATTACATTCTAAATAGTTTAAGTTTCTTTTATGACGTTTTTGGACATGAGAAAGAATTATTAGAAGATTGTTTTTTAATTTTCAAATAGAAATTTTTAATTTTATATTTTTGTATTGCCTTCAATTTACTATAATTGTGTTGTGGTTAGGATATATGGTTGTATACTACTCATTTTTTGAAATGTTTGAAGAATTGCTTTGTGACCTAAATCCTAAACTGTTGTGTAAATATTCTATATGTACAGAAAAGAAAATATACTTTAACTCTGGATGCAGAATATTATATGCCTTTTAAGATTGTTGTTTAAACCTTCTATATCTAACTTTGCCTGAAGTTCCGTTAATTTTAACTTTATGTATTTTGAAACCATTTTTTTAGGTATGTGCATGTTTTAAATAGATTTATCTGAACCTCTGCTGTTATGCTGTGGCCATCTCTATCACTAAATAGTGATTTTTATTCTTGGTCTATTTTCTTATACAAATGAAGCAACATTAGCTTTCTTTTGATTATTCGTTGTCTCATGAATCTTTTTTCCATGCCATTTAACCTTTCTATGGCTTTATATGCCTTACAAAGTATAGCTTATTTATTTTCAAACTTACAATTTTTTAAAAATTTGATAATTATTTTGATTATTAATATGTATTTATTTACGGTATTCTATTTTCCTACTGTTTTACTTTGTTTCTGTTCACTTATATTTGCAAATGGTTTATTCATAGTTGTTATTTATTCTAATGAGTATATATTTGCAGTTCTCAGGATCTACATTTGTTGTTGATTGTTTCTTCTGTGTTTCATTCATACTTCTCTACTGATGTCTGTGTTTTATATTTTTGTGGATTTGCACAGGATTTAATCAGTGGAACCTTGCAGGACTAACTAGAGGGAAGTCTTTTTCTAGAAAGGTTTTGCTCCTGCCTCTGCTGGTTACCAAGTTATAACACATCCAAGGACCATATTAGTCTTTTCTGAGAGTTTTGTTTACAACAGGAGCTGGGGACTCAGTCCTTTCTCCTGTTGTTATTTCAGAGAACTGTGTCTCCTTAACCTTTGGTCATTACTGCCCTGCTCCTTCCTGCTGCCTGTGGATCCAGGCTAGCTCTTACTCTGTGCTTCTCTGACTGCTTCTGTATAGCCTGAACTTCTTTATTTTACTCATCCTGCATGACATGAATTCCGGCTCTGCCTCCAGGCCTCTAAAACCAAGCTCTGACTGCCTAGTAGTAGAGGCCAGTATCTCTCATCTCTTTTGTCTCTTTTGTTTTTTTTGTTTGTTTGTTTGTTTTTTGCCTTTGATGGTGGTTGTGGGTGTGTCTGGATATCTCTCCTGCTGATTAAGCCAGCATTGCCTCAACAAATGTATATGTGAAGGGCTAGGGAGAACAGACTGGAGTTGCTCAGAGTCAAGTCTTGATGACTCATTCTGTTGGAAGCTGAAGTCTTTGGTGTGAATTTTTTCTCAAAGATTAAAGACAGTATTTCCCACAGTATATTCTATGGATGTTTACGTTTTAGGACATCAACAAGATCTGTACTCAATATAGAGTTTTATAGATAGTTTTGAAACTTTTAGTTGAAATAGTTTTCAAGTCTTCTCAGAGCTTTTAACATACTAATAGTCATCATAAATATCCAAAAACAGTATATAGCTATTGATACTCATACAGTGCCTCTCGATTCCATTCTTTTTATAAAGCATCTTTGAAATTAATATTCCAGTGACTGTATTGGAAAACTGCTCTTTTGAGAAATATCAACAAATACAAAAATACTGGTTTTTATTTTGGAAATGTATTTCTTTCCTCTTTGGTAAAAGTACTCGAAAATATAAAACATCCACATTCTATTTTTCATTCAAACATGTATACTATAGGACCAGAAATATAGGAAATAATTAAGTAGAATTAACTGTTTGTAGTTTGCTCAGCAAATAATGTGGGCTGCCTTGCTCCTTCTGAGAGTAGAAGCAGAAACATCTTGGAAGAAAAGTAATCTCTTCTAATCTACACTCTTCACAAGATTGCCAGTTCTTCTACTGTACAGACAAACACAGTAGTGTAGAACCTAAATGACCTGGCCTTGCCATCTTTCCTTGTTGGTTTAAGGATCTTCTCAGGAGACTGAATCCTGAAGGACAGCTTGGGAAGCACCTCTGGATTGTCCCAGACCAATTCTGTGTCTGATGACCTAGTCACTTAGGCGATGAACTAATAGTTTATTGTTGTTGTTTTCTTTCAGATATTTTCTACAAAGTGGAAATGCCTTCTCAGTACTGCTTAGCCTTGTTAGAATTAAATGGAATTGGCTTTAGTACTGCAGAGTGTGAAAGCCAGAAACACATCATGCAAGCCAAGCTGGATGCAATTGAGACACAGGCCTATCAACTAGCTGGCCACAGTTTTTCCTTCACCAGTGCAGATGACATTGCAGAGGTGGTATCATGGAGATGGGAAAGTTAGACAATGACTTTTTGAGTTAAAATGATGTGTGTATGTGTTTCCTAAACACCAAAAATGAGTAAAGTTAACCAATATGGGAATAGAGTATTCTAGCAGCTAATTACTAAGTTATATTTGTATTTGTGAGATGGAAATGTAGAAAAGAAGACTTCTAAAGTGCATGCTCCAGGAGAAGATTTGCCTAGGTCAGCAGAGAGGCTTACTACACTACACAAGGTGTGATTGAAAAGTATAGTGAAATAAAAGAAAATTATTACTGTAAAAGATACATTGCCACTAATCTCCCTGAAATACTCCCCCTCATTTCATACACACATATCCCTTCATTTTTTCCACTTTTTGAAGGAGCCATGGAGGTCCTTTTTTGTGTTTTTAATTGTGATTTTGTAGCTGCTTCAGTTCAAAATGCTTACCTCTCATGATCATGTTGACTTTGGGGAAAAGCTGGAAGTCACATGGTTCCAGATTGATGAATAAGGTGGATGAGAACATTCTATAATGTTTTTATGACCGTGCCTTTTTGTTGCATAGCATTTAGCAACAGCATTCACCATATTTTTGATCACACCATGTAAGACACAAAAGAGGACTTGTAGAACTTGTTAAAAGCAGTCCTAAGAGAAAGTTTATATTTCTGAATGCCCACATCAGAAAAACAGAGTAAGCCCAATAAATTAATAACCCAATGATATATCTCATGGACTTATCAAAACAAGGACAGTCCAACTCCAAAGCTTATACAAGGAAAGAAATTATAAATATCAGAGTGGAAATTAATGAAATTGAGACCATAATAAATACAAAGAATCAAAGAGCTGGTTCTTGAAAGAATAAACAAAATAGACAACTCCTGGTCAATCTTACAAAAAAAAGGAAAGAAAATAAGTGAATTAATTAGAAATGAAAAAGATGAAATCACAATGGACACTGCTGAAATCCAAAAGATTATTATTAGTAACTCCTCAAAAACCTATGCTCCAGTAAATTGCAGAATCCAGAAGAAATGGACAGATTCCCAGATATATATGAACTGAACCCCGAATAATCCAATAATGGGAAATGAAATTGAGGCAGTAATAAATCTCCCAACTAAGAAAAACCCAGGACCTGATAGATTCACTGCAGAATTACACAGGAACTTCAGGAAGATATAATGCCAATACTGCTTAAATTCTTTGATCAAAATGAAAGGGAAGGAGTACTGCCAAACTCATTCCTGGAAGCTAGTATTACCTTGACTCCAAAACCAGATAAGGACTCAACTAAAAAAGAAAACTACAAACCAATCTCTTCAATGAACATACATAGAAAAATCCAACAAGATACTGGTAAACAGAATTCAACAAATCATCTAAAAGATCATACATCGTGACCAAGTAAGATTCATCCCAGATATTCTAAGATGGTTCAACATATGTAAATTAATAAATGTAATACTTACACAAACAGAAACAGGAGCACAGATCACATATATGATCACCTCAATAAACACAGAAAAAGCCTTTGACAAAATCCAACATCTGTTCATGATAAGCAGTTTTTTGACTAGGAATAGTAGGACTTTAATCTGATAAAAGCCACTTGTTAAAAGCAAACTTCCAACATATTAAATGGGGAAACACAAAGCTTTCCCTCTAAAATCAGGAATAAGACAAAGATGTCCACTGTTACCAATCCTATTGTACTTGAAACTTTAGCCATAGCAATCAGCCAAGCAAAAGAAACAATAGGAATACATATAGAAAAGGAGGAAGTCAAGCTCTCCTTGTACCCAGATGACACAATCCTCCATCTAGAAGGCCTAAAAAGTTCCACCAGAGGCCTCCTAGAACTCATGAGACAATTCAGCAGGGTAGTAGGACACAAAACTAACACAATAGCATCTCCATACAACATTAATGAACCCATTGAAGAAATTAGGAAAACAATACCACTCAAAACAGCTTCAAGGAAAATTAAATACTTAGGAATTAACAAAAGAAGTGAAAGAGCTCTTATCATAAATAGTATAATAATCTGGAAAAGAACATTGAGAAATATCAGAAAATATTCCTGGATAGGCATAGCAAATATTGTAAAAATGGCTATAGAAGCCAAACTGATATATAGATATAGTGCAACTGCAATCAAAATACCAGCAGTATTCCTCACAGAACAAGAGAAAACAATCCTATCAACCAGAAGAGCAAAAGCAATCCTGAATAACAATACTTAGGAGGCATCACAATACTATATTTTATGTTATATATTATATATTA